CCAAGTGAGCAGAGGGATGGAGCACCTCTCCTTTGGGGAAAAACTGAGAGAACTGGGATTGTTAATCCTGGAGAATGCTTCAGGGAGACCTCAGAGCCCATTCCAGTACCTAAAGGGGCTCCGAAAGAGCTGGAGAGGGACTTTGGATAAGGGCTTGTAGTGGTGGGACAAGGATGAACAGTTTTAAATTAAAAGAGAAGAACTTTAGATTAGATATTGGGAAGAAATTCTTCCCTGTGAGGGCAGTGAGGCCCTGACACAGGTTGTCCATCCATCCCCTCCATCCCCCAGCTTTCCATGGCATAACCAAAGGAAATTAGCTCTGAAATTGTGATTTTAAAGCCACTGCCAGGGTAGGGAACAATCAACTGACTCACATGATGAAGGCTGTGATTCCGATGGACCAAATATCAGTCTGGGGAAGGGCTCCTTGCTCTGTCAGCAGTTCTGGAGCTGGAAAAGTAAACTGGTGTGAGGCAAGCTCCTCTCCAACACACTGAGAGTAGCACAAAGGCAGTGGATACTTTTATGCTTTGCTGCCTTCCCAACAGGGAAGAAGAGGCAGCTCCCAGGACAGAGAAGCTTCTGCATGGATGCTGATTGCAGTGAAACCATGAGAACCTCTGGGCAGTTGGCAGCAATTCTTTATCTCTGGATAAATGGACACATGGATGCCAGTCAGAGTGGCATTGCTGTGAGCTCTGTTCCCTGTGGTCTGCAGTGGGACAACTGTCACCACTCACTGCTTCCACAAACTCACAGTGTCACTGGAGAGCAGCACCTGGAAGACTCTTCTTGCTGGGACCATCTGCTGCCTTGACCAATGTTTGTGTCTTTCTGTTTAGCACAGATTGCAGATAAGCCCCAAGCCGCTGTGACTGAGCTCTACTCACCCATGGTTTCCACATAGTCTGAGCATTTGTCCATGGTAATAAACTTGTCTGGTGTGTAGAACTGTGCGTTCCCAAAATCCAGGAGTTTCAGCAGGTTGGGCTCGGTGATGATCATGTTCTCTGACCTGAGGTCCAGGTGCAGGATGTTGTGTGCATGGAGGTACTCGGTGGCACTGAGGATCTGCCACAGGTAGTCTCGGACCTCCACCTCTGAGTACGACGTCCTGGGGGGAGAAAGGGGATAGAAAATGCAGGTGTCCTGTCTGCATGTCCATGTTCTACATCCACCATCACCCACCCCTGGGTGTCTGTCCCATCACACCCTTGAGAGTCAAGAAGAAACAACTCTAGTTTAGCAAATCAGCTTTGTGTGGAGAGGCTGGTCCATCCTGTGAATCAGTTTTACAGAAGCAACAAGTTCAGGATGTTGTAGAGCTGAAAGAGAGGAAGCAGATTTGATGCCCACAATTCCCTCTTTTTTAATCACAGGATTTCAGCAGATCCACTTTGTGCCACTGTGAGAAACAAACAATGAATACTCCTGACCACAGTAACCTCCGTGTTAGGGTGTTGGGGTTAATAGGTGTTGCATCTCATTTTGGGAGATGGAGTTTGATATCAACCACTGTAAACCACTTTCAACATCTCAGCTGGGTGGCCCTGAGTTGTTCTTCTGTAGGAACTCAAGTAATTTTTTTTATCTCACAAGAAGATGCAGAGCAAACGCTTTACAAATCCTGTGTGCAATGACAGATGGAGAGGGGTGATCCAGTTTGTCAGGAGAAAGCAACAGGTATCTTCCTCCCAACAGCAGCAGCCCTGACTGGAAAACTCTTCGCTCTTGTTCTTACCGTAACGCCAAGGAGTGGAGCAGCTCTGGCCCCACACACATCTCCTGGATCAGCACCAGGTGCCGGGGGCTGACGTAGGCACCCTTCAGCTGGGCTATGTTTGTGTGGTGGAGCTTCCTCAGCACCTGGTACTCCAGCAGCACAGCCTGCTTGTCCTCCTGCCAGTAAGGGATGATCTTAGCGGCCAAAGCCTTGCCGCTCACCTTCTCCCGGCACTGCCGGACGATGCTGAATCGGCCCCTGGTACAAAGGAACACAGAGGTGTGTTAATCTTCTGTTCTTTGAAAGCACCAGGATCCCATGCTGGTTTTCATCTGTGCCTTGTGGGTGGGGAGTTATTGCATCACAGTTTGCACATCCTCCCGTGTCTTTA